AAAAAAAAAAAAAAAGTGATCCTTTTGCTTCAGCCTCCTGGGACTATAGGCAGGAGTCACCACACCTGGCTAATTTTTCTATTTTCAGTAGAGATGGGGTCTTGTTCTTTCTCCAGCTGGTCTCAAACTTCTGAGCTCAAGGGATCCTCCCACCTTGGCCTCCCAGAGTGCTGATATCATGGGTGTGAGTCACCTTACTCAGCCCACTACGTGTTTTATTAAGTTGTGGGGAAATATGCTAATTAGAGGAGACAGAACATCATTAAACTTTTTGTTTTCATGACTCAAGACTTCTATTTTTTTGGATGGTGCCAAAATCTAATGCTCTTGAGGTATTGAGGTAGGAGAGCTGGTTTACCTGTACACTTTCTTTTTTTTTTTTTTTGAGACGGAGCCTCAAGCTATCCCCCTGGGTAGAGTGCTGTGGCATCACACTCACAGCAACCTCCAACTCATGGGCTCAAGCGAGTCTCCTGCCTCAGCCTCCCAAGTAGCTGGGACTACAGGCACCCGCCACAGCGCCGGCAATTTTTTGGTTGCAGCCATCATTATTGTTTGGCGGGCCCGGGCTGGGGATTCGAACCTGCCACCTTAGGTGTATGTGGCTGGTGCCTTAGCCGATTGAGCCACAGGTGCCGAGCCTACCTGTACACTTTCAAAAAGGCCCCCAGTTTGCTGTGTACTCTGCCATGACATCCAGATTTTTGTGGGGGCGTTTCTGTCCTGACCTGCTGCCTGCTGCCTATCCTTGCAGGTGCTAGCACCCTAGCCTTTAGCAACCCTCATCTTCACTAAAAGTCACTGTATTTGATCAGCAGTCATGTGGAGATCACACTGTTGTGTTTGCACTAGTGCAGTAATTCCTGCAACAGGAGGACATGGGCCTGAGTGAGGATTTGAGAGCTCAAATTATAGTTGCACACCCTTGTAGTGTGCATAGGTCACTCAGCCTCTGGGGTCTGTTTCTGCATCTGTAAAATGGGGCAGATGATACCTACATCAAAATTATTATCGGGATTAAGTAAAAGTATCTGCATCTATGTAGCTCAGCACAGTCCTCAGCACAGAGGAAATATGCATGATTCTTAGTCTACATTACGTGTCTAAAATCTGTGCAGCTTTGGGTGGCACCTGTGACTCAAAGGAGTAGGGTGCCGGCCCCATATGCTGGAGGTGGTGGGTTCAAACCCAGCCCTGGTCAAAAACTGAAAAAAAAAAAAAAATCTGTGCAGCTTTTGTTTATTTTTGTTTTTAGTATTTTAAAAGTTGTACTAAAAGTTGAATTGTACTAAAAGCAAGAATTTATTGAACATATTTTTTTGTCTAAGACAGCTTGCAATTTAAGACTGAAAAATCAGCTGAAGTCATGTTCTGCCTTCAGGATATTAGCATTGAGTCACGGAAATAGGGCCAACGTACACTGAAAACAGTTGACAGGCTAAAGTAGCTACATAATTAAGTGCTGAGATGAGTCTCAGAGATGGCAATCTCTTTTAGAAGCCTAGAGAAAGACTAATTCACTGTGGACAAAATACTTACCAAAAACTGAATTCCCATTTTTGTACATTTCCAGGAAATGTCGCTGTCTCACTAGATCACACGAGAGTCAAAGCACTGGAGACAGGCACTGAGTGGCCCAGTCTGCCCAGGCTCCAGAGCAAAGGGTTCTCTCTGTAGCTGTGGGAAGGACCAAAAGCCTCTGTGCAGCTGTTACCATAACGCTGCCCAGCTCCCACTGCGATTTGCTGGACCTGTGCCCGAGGGCTAGGGCCCAGGCTCACGCCAATCTTTAAAACCCACAGTCGCTTCTTTTTTTTGACCAGGGCTGGGTTTGAACCCACCACCTCCAGCATATGGGGCCAGTGCCCTGCTCCTTTGAGCCACAGGTGTTGCCCCCCACAGTTGCTTCTAATGCAAATTCCAGGTTAAGCCACAGAGCATTGTCTTTATGTGGTAGTTTGTTCAGTATCACTCTACTCCTTTCAAACCTGGGTCTCAGCTGAGTGGATGGGTGACCCTGGGGACACATACCAGTGCTTTGTTGCAGTCTTGTTGCCTGAGGAGGCGTCTGCATCCTTCCTTCCATCCACTTCTTCAGATCTGCATTCACTGACCCCTCTGTGCAAGGTGCTGGGAAGACAGTTGAATGGGACAGACAAGCTCCATGCTCTCAGGAGGCTGACATTCAGGGGGTGGGGGTGGGTGGGGCAACAATAAATAAGAAAACATATGTAATAATATTCTAGATAGCTTACAGCACTCGGAAGAGCAAATAAAGTATGGTAATGGGAAAGAGATGAGAGGTGGGGTGTGGAGCTCTTTTAGTTAGGCCGAGAGGGATGCCTGTTTAGAGGAGGTGAGATTCCAGCAGGAGCTTGAATATGAGCAAATGAGTCATGCAGAGGTGGATGGAGGCAGTCCCAGGCGGAGGGAGAGCAAGCAGGAGTGTGAGGTCGGAGGGGAAGGTGGCAGGGCCTGGGCGCCCAGGGCTTCCAAGGTAAGCTGGGGGCCCTTGTGAGCCGTGGGCGCCCTGGCTGCCAGGTAGAGAACAGGAAGAGATGGCATTGTGGGAAGGCAGAGTCTGACTCTGCCTGGGTTCCCCAGGGTTGTCCCTTGGGCCTGTGGCAGGGATGGTTCATGTTCACAATTTGGGGCTCCTGAAGGTGTCCTCGAGGGGTACCATGCTTTTGGCAAAAGTATTATATCAAGTTTTAGCTTTGTAAAAATGGGTGAATGAGGACATTCCCTCTAGGACTTCTTTAAATTCCTTAAGTAGAGTGAGTACCCTCGCTGTGTTCCAGAATAGGACTTGTTTATACCAGTATTTCAGGAGTGTGTGTTGTGTGAAATGAGGCACGTCTGGGGCAGACTTGGGGAGGAGACTCCCAGGGAGTACTGGGGAGCCAGGCTTTATGAGGGGAGCGGGGTGGGAGTTAGAGGTTCTTTGTTTTTAATTAGGATATAATTCACATACTATCAAGTTCACCCGTTGAAAGTATATAGTTCAGTGGTTTTTAGCATATTCATAAGGTTGTGTAGCTACCACTTCTGGTTCCAGATCATGGCCACACCCCAGAAGAAGTCACCCAACCCACTAGCAGTTACTCCATTCCTCCGTTCCCTTGCCCTGGTGCCATTGATGTGCTTTCCTCCAAGGCTTTGCCTGTTCTGATATTTCATATGTGTCCTTCTGTCACTGGCTTCTTTAGCTCAGCACGGTGGTATTGAGGTTTATCCACGCTGTATCATGGATCAGTACTTCATTCCTTTTATGTCCTCACAATATTCCCTAGTATGGATAGACCACATTTTGTTTATGCCTAAGAGACCTGCACAGGGCTGTCCAGCTTCTGGACTAGATGCCGTGCAAACCTCACCAGGCACCAGCCGATAGGCATCCTTCACAATCCTGAAGAGCTAGAGTGTGGGCTTCTCCATGCTCTGCTCCTGGTCCTGTTAGATGTGCAGGTACTTTTACCCCATGTCACAGACATTTCATGAAGTCTGGTTTTTCCTGGTTTCTTTTAATGAATTTCCTGACTGAAAGTGGGAATAATCAGATGTGAATTTTTTTTAAAAAACACCAAAAACTAAAACTCAGTAGTAATACACCTGATTGCTGTTGCTGGTGATACCAATCTTCCTAGAACTTGTAATACTGGTGTCTGGGTGGAGATGGAACTAGGTCCCCCCTCACCCCCTTCTCTCTGAGATATACAAAGTATTGGCTGAAGCATTGCCTTCTACTAATTATGTCAAGCCCACCTCTGTCTCCAGGGTGGGTTATAATTCCATGCTTCACGCCCCTTCCTGTCCCCTTCTGTCCCACCCCCACCATCCTTTTCCTTTCTTTTATGAGTTCTCCCCTTCCTCATGTTTAGAATGGGAGTAAGTGCCCACAAGCCAGGGATAAAATTTACTTTACAAATTGGATATTTTATCTAAGCAGGGTCCTCAGTTGGCCAGTTATTGGCTTGGGTACTTTAAGATCATCATGTGTCATTTTCTGCACATTTTCCTGATTTGTTGCTTACTCTGCAGCGCTGGCCTTCCTGCAAGTGTGTAGTCCCAGGTGAGGCTGTGCGATGCTCTGCTAAAAAGACAAACAAACAAATAAAAGCCATGTGCACAATTATCTTTATGCTCCAATGAGTAGAGCAGAACAGCACGTATTAGCCCATCTTTTTTTTTTTTTTTGAGACAGAGTCTCACTATGTCACCCTCAGTAGAGTGCTGTGGCGTTACAACTCACAGCAACCTCCAGCTCTTGGGCTTAGGTGATTCCTTTGCCTCAGCCTCCCGAGTAGCTGGGACTACAGGCACCCACCACAACAGCTGGCTATGTTTTTGTTGCAGTTTGCCAGGGCTAGGTTCGGACCCGCCACCCTCGGTATATGGGCCGGTGCCCTACTCACTGAGCCACAGGTGCCGCCCAGCCCATCCGTGTTTTAATTGTTAGAACAGCTGCCCGTGCAGCACATTTTGTCTCAGAAGAGTAGATTTCAGGGTACTGATTATTTTTATGGGGTGGAAAATTATCTGGTCTGGGAATAAGGGAGAGGTAACTGAAAGGCTAATCCAGGGAGGTGGGAAAGGATTGTGAGTCAGCATATATGACTCTAAGCATAGAAGAAGAAGCCAGATTTATACCAGAGAGACATTCGGATATTTATTCACTTTGAATGTTTATTCACTTTGTAAACTTGGAAAGCTATTAGTAATCAGGAATTAAGTGTTGGCATCAAAGATTAACAGTCAGAGGGTTAACATCTTTTCCATAGAAAGTCTGTTCAAATCATTTCTTCACACCCTTGCCTCCTTGAGCCTTATGTGTGTTAGTTATCTTGCCATGTCACAAATTATCCAAGAACCATGGCTTAAAACAAATGTTTATTATCTTGGTTTCCTTGGTGGCTGCTCATGATGTTGCAGTGAGGGTGTTATCTGGGGCTTCTTTCCAGGAATGGGGAACCTGTGGTCTTCTGATCACAAGACTATTCTTTTTTAAGTGACAAAGGAGGTGAGACAACCTTTCTTTCTTTCTCTTCTGCACCTCTTTTCATAAAAGGATGTGCTCTGCAAAATTTGAATTCAGTCAAAAGGCTGCCCTTAAGGCCCTAGAAAGCCACATTTCTCCTTAAGGCTGCAGGTTCTTCTCAGCTCTGGCTGAGGCTGAAGGATCCACACCCAAGATGGTAGCGGTTGGGCGGAGGCCTCTGTTCTCCAGGGCCCACTTCTATGACCTGACAGTGTAGCAGCCAGCTTCTCCCAAAGTGACCCACAGGGGAAGTGCAGTGTTTTTATGACCAGGACTCAGAGGTCACTTGTCATTTCCACAATACTCCCTTGGCTACCCTGGTCAGGCATGCACATGGGGACATCTTACCAGTTTATTAGGTGAAAATTAGTATCTTGCTGTTTTAACATACATTTCTTCAATGACTAATGAGGTCGATCATTTTCTTTTCTTTCTTGAGACAAAAGTGTCACTCTGTTGCCCTGGCTAGAGTCCAGTGGCGTTGTCATAGCTCACAGCAACCTCAAACTCCTGGACTTAAGTGATCATTCTGCCTCAGCCTCCTGAGTAGCTGGCATTACAGGTGTGTGGCACCAGGCCCAGCTAATTTTGTTTTCCTAGTTTTTGTAGAGATGGGGTCTCATTCTTGCTTAGGTCTTAAACTTCTGGCTTCAAGTGATCCTTGGTCTTCCCAAATGCTAGGATTACAGGCATGAGCCACTGTGCCTGGCCTTTATTTTCTTCTTCATACTTTTTTTCTGCAAAGTAAAATTTTTCTTCAGTGAACTTGCATTTATAATTTCTTTTAAAAACTAACAGAACCAAAGGTGGTATACTTCTCAGTGAGAAAAGGAATGAATTACCAATGCATGCAACAACTTAAGTGAATTTTAACAGGATTGCACCAAATGAAAAGCCAATCTCAAATGGCCACCTACCTACCACCTACTAGCTCTTGGGCTCAGGCACTTCTCCATGATGCTTCTGTGTACAAAACATTCTTCAAATGACAGAATTGTACAGCTAGAGGACAGATGAGTGATTGTGTAGAGGGTAGAGATGGGGGTCAGCTATAAATGGGCAGTAGGAGGGAAGTGTCTGAGTTGGTAAAAATGTTCTGAATCTTGGTTGCAGGAAATGCTGTAAGATGACAAAGAACCATGCACAAAATGTTTGAATTAACCACCATGCCTGACTAATTAAAAAGTTCTTTTTTTTAAGAGACAGAGTCTCACTGTGTTGCCCAGGCTGGTCTAACTCCTGGGCTCAAGTGATCCTCCTGCCTTGGCCTCCCAATGTGCTGGGGATCATAGATGTGAGCTACTGTGCCTGCCCACAAGAGGACCATTTTTTTTTTTTTTTTTTTTTGGGTAGAGACAGAGTCTCACTTTATCACCCTTGGTGGAGTGCTGTGGCATCACACAGCTCAGGCGCCTGCCACAATGCCCAGCTATTTTTTGGTTGCAGTTTGGCCGGGTCTGAGTTTGAACCTGCCACTCTGGGTATATGGGGCTGGTGCCCTACTCACCGAGCCACAGGCGCCGCCCAAGAGGAAATTTTTAAATGGCAAATGTTGTTAGTGCATTTCCAAGGCTGATTTCCGTATGGGCTTTTTTCCCCCATGAAGTTGAGTTGACCTGTGTCTTGCCTTGTGTCCCCGCATCTAAATGATGTATTCCCTGGGCATAGGTTAACAACCTGCATTGAAATTGGTGGCATTTTTCATTCAGTGTCTTTGATTTGGAACCTTTCTTCTTAGGATGGTCTGTGTATGATTTGTCTTTTTTTCTTTTCCCAGGGGAAGGCAAAGAGGAGATTGCCAAGGTGACTTTTGAAGAGTTGAGGCAGCAAGTGGCTCTGTTTGCTGCAGCAATGAGGAGAATGGGTGTGAAAAAAGGAGATCGGGTTGTCGGTAAGTATTTTTGGTGCTTGTGATGGTTTTGGGAGGAGGGCAGAATGAATAGCTTGGAAGGTCCAGATGACTTTTGAATAAGGTAGAGTCATGGTATATTACATAACACCTTGTAGGACTGTACTTGCAAGGCAAAAAATAGACAAGGGATCGTTGAAAGAGTACCCTGTTCTGTGAAGGTGGGACTTGTCTTTGTTTTGTTCCTTACTTTGTCCTAGAGCCTAAAACAATTCCAGGAGCATCAACGATATGCAGTCAAGACTAGTTGGCTGGATTAATGAAGGTGTATGTAGGAGTTAGCCCTGCAGTGAGGGAGGAGAGGAGTAGTCAGTCCAGGTGACAGTGACAGCCTGTGCAAAAGTCATGAGGCTAGTGAGGTGTCTAGAGGGGTGACAGAAACTCTATGGGCAGAAGGTGAGGCAGGCGCCAGGACTGGTCCCAGGGACCTCATCCACCTTCACCTGCCTCTGCCTAGAAATTCCTGAGGCTTGGTCTGTTCTGACTACTTTTCCCCTCCCCTAAGCCCTAAAGTAAGGGAAAGGCAAGGGAAAGAGTGTGTGTAGGACCCAAAGAAGGTAGGAGCAGGGAACAGGACCTGCCAGACCCTTGTGCTGAGACCCTGTAGGAGGCTATTATTTCCAAAAAGCACCCAGGGCTAGAGTCTGCAGATGGTGACTGAGGCCTGAGGTCTGGCTGGCTCTCCCTCCCTGAGAGCTGGCCCCCTTTTTGCTCCTTCAGGCCGCAAGTAATGATTTCCTCCTGAAAACACCTTAGGTGTTTTTCTTATAGTTTTTCCTTTCACCTGAATTTCTGGAAAAAAATATGAAGTCCTGTTCAGATTTTTTGAATCTGAGCTAAATGTACCTGTTCTCTGCCCCAAGGAACTTAGTTTCATTCTGATCTGGGTGGGTGTGCACACAGGGAGGAGCAGGTGCAGGCAGGGTGAGTAACTTCCAGTGTGTTAGGAGAACTCCTGACCAGGGGCTTGGACTCTGGAATCTTGATTTTTGGTGGGGGTGTGCCTCTTCCAAGAGAACTTACTGTGGCTTATTTGCAAAGAAGGATGAGAAGCTGGGTGGCCTTATCATATAAAAAGCACTGAATGGCAGCCCCTGTGTCTCCTCAGATATCAGAATTGGCCATGGCATTAATGCTCAACATATTTTGGTTGACTAGAAAAGAATCAAACAGAAAGGGACATGTTAAGTTACCTCCTGTCTCAGCCCTTGATTGAATGTGCTCCTTTGGCATAGCCTCAGGGTTCACTCCCTTTTTGTTGAGGTCTCTGCTCAGATGTTACCTCCTCAGAGACCATCCCAGGTTGGCCTTTAGAAAAGCCATCACTCTCCCTGCACCTGCTTTGCTTTTCCTTAGAGTCCTTATGTGTCACACTGGGCTATGTGTGCATGTGCCCTCCCATGTGTGAGGCTGGGGCCTTGTCTTTTGCTGCTGCCATAGTTCTATCTGTGAGGAGTGCCTGGCACATGGTTGACATTGAATAATTATTTGTTGAACGGACAAGTATGAGTCCTAGGCTGGTGATTGGAACAGGCATTTTTTGAGGTTGAAAGTTTGCTTTTCTTGGCTAGGCGTGGTGGCTCATGCCTGTAATCTTAGCACTCTGGGAGGCCAAGGTGGGTGGATTGCCTGAGCTCACTGGTTCAAGACCAGCCTGAGCAAGAGCGAGACCCTTCTCTGGAAATAGCTGGGTGTTGTGGCAGGCACCTGTAGGCCCAGCTATGTGGGAGGCTGAGGCAAGAGAATCACTTGAGCCCAGGAGTTTGAGGTTGCTGTGAGCTATGATGCCATAGCACTCTATGAAGGATGACAAAGTGGGACTCTATCTCAAAAAAA